CTTTTACGGAGCGCCACCGACTTTTTCGTCTTCTTCCAGTAGAAAATTGGGTTTTGATGTCCTTCAAAGGCAGTCTCGATGTGGCTCCTCTAGACGTAATTGAATGGAATGCGCGTTGTCAGCATGCAGACGCACTCGGAACCACTGGTGAGGTGAGACCTGCTGGTCCCGAATACCGTGGTGAAGCCTCCAAATGACCTGTCACAAAACACGAAGAATTCGACAAGACATCCATTGTTTAGGGCTCGCATAATTTACAAAAAAACGACAACGTTTGGCGTTTTTAGGTCCTTTTTTGAGTCTAGTCAACTTCTAAACTCACTCCACCATTAGCGCTTACTTATGAAGAAGCACAAGCAAAGCCTCACTGAAACACACATTTTATCTTCTACAAACAACATACTAAAACAACTTCACTCCAACCGTTTATATCTTTGATGTGAGATCACTTTACTCACCATTTGATAGCGAATTTCAGCAAGTTTTTTAAACTGCCACCAAAAATTAAAAGCACTTTATTTGAACAACCGTAGGAGACGTTTTTTTTCCTTTAATAAACCGCCTATTTAAAAAGTAAAATTAAGGCTTCATGTTGCTTTGCACGAGGGAATTGAAAAATCCACAGTAAGAGCATTTTATTGTTAGGGTTTTACTGCATTTGCGGAAACAAAATAATGTCGACAATAATATGAGTTGAGGGTGGAAAGTCGGTTTTAAATTCTCGTACATCCACGTCAGAAGGACGCAATGGCTTGTGCAATTAAAGCACCTTCAAAGTCCAGGATTAACAATTGTGAATGAGAAGTACTGCTCGGGCACACCTCCGCCGTGATCCACCAAATAGGCACCAAAGACTTGAATTTGGTGTTTTGTGTAGCGTCTTGAGGTTTCCCACTAAGCAGAGGAAGACGTCAAGTGGAGCCGAATGCGCGTATTCAAGAAGGAGGAGGAGAGAGTGGATCTTGGCCTGCTCCGAAGGTCAGTCCGATGCGGACAAGAGCAGGAGAAATGCCAAAGTAACTGTCAGTCCTACAGGTGACTGCGTAAACGATGTGTTGCATTGCCATTTTCTCCGGTTTAGCGCCGTTGTCAGCGCATTCCACGATACACCCTCCTTCTCCGTCGCGCCTATCATCAGCTGCCATGAGAATGCAAGAGTGTACTTGAGCTTCCTAGCAGCTTTAATTTTGGTCTGGAGTTGCGTTTAGTCTAAGAGCAGGAGTCGGGATGCATACTTCTGTTGACCATCTATTGTGTCCAGGGTTGCATCGAAGTACTCGACTAAAACAGGTACGAAACGGAGAAAACAGTCCTAGCGTAATGCCATCGTCCGCATCTATAACGTGAGTTTTGTAAGGATGGCGGTGTCGCTTCACTTTTTACCACCCTGGCAATGGAAGACGGGAGTGAAGTGGATGCCAAACGCCGATGTCATTTTCAATCCTTTCTTAGGAAGTGTATACGATTCCTTCACACTGTGAAGAGATGTTGCAAACGGTGGACACTAGGAGGGAAGTCATGACGTGGTCGGGTTCGTTTTCTACTGGCCACAATTGCAGCGCTCCGAAACATCTCACCAGGTGGAAGAAGGCATAAAATTGAGTTGAATGCATGCAGTTAAGGAGAAAGGGAGAGAGTTTGAGCTTCGGCTTTTCCTCAGGTCCACTTCAAGCATACAAGAACAAGATCAGTACCCAAGTAACCACCAGACACGATTGCATAAACAAAGTATTGCAATCTTTGTGTCGCCTTCTCTTTGTCTCTCTCTCTCTCTCTCTCTCTAACCACTACAAGGTCTGTGACTTGCTTAAAACCACCTACTCCACCCTCCTTTATCTGCTCTTTCATCAACTCACCGATCCAACACTATCAGTGAAGTTGCCTGGAAGTAGACAGCATGAGAGCCAATTTTACACTCTCAATCGAAATGCGTCTGAGGTAGACGTATCTGCGCAGCTCAACTGTCCACACAAACGCCATAAAAGAAATTATCAAAACTAATCCAAATGCTGATTTTACATTCACTTGTGAGGTATTTTATGGAGGACAATAGTTATTAGTGCTTGGAAAAAGGAAGTCAAATCTTTATTACTACAATTCTGGTAGAGAGGATTGTATTCTATGACAACTTTCAGTGTATTTGGAGGTGTTAATTGGCCTTCCTACCCGTTAACGGTGTGGTGAGGAAGTAGCTGGGGTGTGGTCTCCTTACCAACATCAAAACGTCTGCAATATAACGCAGTTGCCTTCCTCCTCTTTTGGCTGTCGTTCTCATTTGTTTTTTTGTTATTTAATCCGCGTCAAGGTCACCGATCTCCTTTAGCACTCCTAGGTCTGGAGTTTTTGCTTTATTTGGGGGGAAAATATGCCATGAGATCGGTGAGTGAAGGAGAAGAAGAAGAAGAGGACTGGATCTAATGCCTCTTCATTCTTGTCACTTTGTTCTCCCTTCTAAAATGACCCAGTCACAACCACATGGATTGGATCAAGTTGGTAAAGGAAGCATCACAAATTCATATAATTGTTTTTACCACACAAGAACCGTTAGCATCTCGAGAGTGAACTTTTTCTCCATGGTTGTTAATACCTCCTCACTACTGACCCAAGAACTAAAGCATAGGCATGAGGTAGTCATTGCTGAACTTCTTCTTCACTCAGTGTGCTTTTTTTTGCTCTGCCGTTCTTTGGGTTTTTTCTTCTTTCTGCTACCGCTATTGCTGCACTCAGCGACTTCTCTACAGACGGAAGAGGGCATAACATTTGGGCTACTGACATGTGCCATAGGCCAGCTCATCTAATGATGATACATTGGCGCAGTAGCACCTTCCTCTGCACTCTCTTCAATGGACGATGGTCTTTTAGGCATTCCTAGGTAGATACAGTCAAAAGGCTCCTTGCACTCCACCTATACGGCGCACAATTTGAATCCGCGCTTCCCATAAAATAGAGATTTAAACAACTACTGTTTGCCACAATCTCCTTTTTAAAAACCTGCAATCAAACCAACAATCAACAATGGGAGCGAAATTAATACCTGAAGTGTCCTTTGTCTTGTGCAAAATGTCAGAAGTGACATAAATTGTCAAGCTTGATGTCATTGGAAACTTTTCCGTGTTCACTACCTCCTGTTGTAGTGTGTGCTCTACCTCTTCGCGCTAAAAATGACATATCCTCTCACCTTCTTCCTACTGCGAGGCAACCATGAGTGCAGACACCTAACAGAGTATTTCACCTTCCGCCAGGAATGTAAGTCATCATTAACCTTATCTTTTAAAAAAATTTACTCTTCTCCCCAGGGATGTGCACATGTATATATAGACCTTTTGTTACTTCAAAGCTTAACGGCTAATTAGACTGAGTAAAGTGTTTGGGTGGGGAGAGGCGTGACGGAAATGGAGGGGACACAGCCTCGGAGTGATGAAATCCTTTCGCACTTCTCATTGTCTTACAACATTGAAGAGTAATTGCATGCCTACCCTCATGCCTTTGAACCTCGAACCTCAAGAGGGACTTAGTTGCGGAAGCTTTAGTTGGCATCGTATACAGAAAAAAAAACGGAAATAGGGGGTGTAGATGGGCCGAACAGGAATCCTCATGCTCCTTGCGCACTGGATTCGTGTTCGAATCGACTTCCCGCCTCTCCCCTATAAAGGCAAACTTAAACATGCTAGTGTATATTAAAATTGCTTAGTTTGTTTTGTGCATTTTCTGAAACAAAAAGTGGCACTAGGTACGAAATGATGAAAGGCCTGTTGGGCCATTTGTCTTACATCTTCTCATTTTACCATTTGCAAATTAGCTTTCCTTCTTAAGTTATGTGTACAAACTTGGGTTGTATTACCCGACTTGAAGGTGTAGTTACGCATAAAATTTCTCCTCTTTTATGAAAACGTCTTGTTTTACTGCTCTGAAAAACTGCAGCATAAAAATTCATTGTTACTGAGACACATCAAGACGTATTAATAATTTATAAACGTTTTGTTTTAATCACAAAAGTGGAGGTTGTTTCAAATAGCGAAGGCTAAACTGACCGATTTGTTTGAGTCCTCTTTGGGCGAAAACCCGAAATTAAGCGCACGGAGCATCGTAACACCATGACCAACGTCAAAATGAATAACACTGCAAGACTTCACGGCATGGATGTTATTTAGGGGTGTTCAAATCTTTCCATCAAACTAAAGATATCACTCCTCGCGCATATTTTGAGAAACGACTTATGAAGTTTTAAAAAAATTAAGTTCTTTATTGTGTCAACTTGGTGCTGCCAACATTGCACGTTTGGTTGCGCACGACAAGGAGTTTTGGAGTTTGCAACATTAACTAAAGTTTGCACTCCCGTTTTACCTTTTTATTGGCTGTGATGCGATCTGGATTCTATTAATTATCCAGCCATATTTTTGCCACCGTGTTGGCGTTGGTTTTACCTACTCTTTGCACGTAACTTCAGTGTGTTGCGTGCCTCGCCATCTGACCGTGGGGTTGATATTTTTCAGTAGATACTAGGTAATTTCGCTCGTTGTTTTGCTATTAAGACCCTTAAATTCGTAGCCTTTTCATTTAAAAGTGACACATGGATCAATACGCCTCCTTCACAGGAGGGAAAGAGTAATGAGCAAATTTTTACTAAACAGGAAAGGGTTTAATTAATCCCAATCCAGGCGCGCACTGCTGAAAAGTGAAGCATCTCCTCTGACACGGCTGGGAGAGCGGGAGGTCTTTGAGTCCACTTAATTAAGGAACCTTTTTTGTCTATGCCCGATGGAGAGTGAAGACTCCTCCAGTTATCCTAAATTTTTGACAGACACTAAAGTGTCATTCCTCGGGTTTGTAGGAATTTACTAATAAACATGAATGGCAAGTGAACAACTGACAAATATTTGCTAGCATCAGCACCAAGTATAGAACGTTTTCTATGGCTGAACTTCGTCATAACTTACAAGGTAGGCGACTTTCTCAGGCGATAATCAAACTTAACCTTAGAGCAAAGCTGAGCTTCTCTATTAACTCTGCTAAGACAAAGAGGCTTCTTTTTCAGTCAACAATGTTTACGGAAGAGTTGTGTTTTTAAGGACTTATAGGTCCTTCAAACACATTGCATGATGAATTGAGGTAAAAGGAAGTATTCTTACTTTGAAGGCATAAGTTTAAATTATTTAATAGCAAGGTCGCCATACGCTAGCAGAGTTTCAAAATTAGTATTTGTTGGAAGGTGAAGGTAATCCCAAGGACTCGGATGCACTGATATGCGTAGCTAAATCATGAATACAAGGAAAGTCAATCGGTTCCTTTGATGCTTTAAAATACGGCATTAAATTTTTTTAGTATCAAATTTATAACTCACTTCCAGGTCCAAATACAAGGTCTTTTACTCGTGTACCGTTGATACCGCATGAATACTCCTAATTTAAGTGATAACTTTCTATAACGAAGCTAAACAATAGTGTTTGTTCGTGGTGACAACACCAACCGTCGAGCATTTGGCTAGACTTCAACGATACCGCTTTTTGCGAATAATTCGTGTATATCTACTTTGACTTGGTAGTAAAAATGCCTCAAAGGTATGCAACACCTTAATATACCTAGAAACACAAAGAAATGGAGTTTTTACCAACCTCCAGATATGGTATGCTTCAAATTTTATACATTTTTCGGCATCAACCTCTTCAGAAATATTTTTAAGACAACCTTCAAAATTGTATTGTATTTTTACTGTTTCAGGCAATAAAATGGCTTCCCTCCCTAACCATTCCCATTTATCATCACGAATATCAGGAGACCTGAGGTTCTTTTATTCAGTTTTATGCAGATAAACAATAGCCGAACATCTGTGCTAGAGCATGTCCTATCCATTTCTCCTGGCATAAATAAGTCATTATTTTTTCTAGTTCCTTTTAACAGCACACAATTTGATCAAATTGAATTTATGACTCCTATCGGGAAATAAAACACATAATAAGCCACTAATCCTCCATTGTGTGAAATTAGAAGAGGTAGAATTAGCGGGTAGGAGAGCGCTCGCAAAGGTACTTTTTTGAGCACAACTATTTCGAGTTCCTGAATTGTGCATGAATGGTAGAACTGATGCCATGGGGCTGTTCTAGCGCCCCTTTTTAAGTGGACAGACGGAGCAGGAGGTTGTTAAGCCCCTATCTTTTTTGTGATACCACTTTGAGGACACACACATACAACGATCCACCGAAGCCACAGTCTTTACAGTGTCCACTTCAATTTCAACAACATAACGCCTCCTTAAGAAGGCGAAGTTTTAAGTAGTTTGTAGCTATTGTGAGAAATGAAGGGACGCCAATATTTAAACAGACTTTCATTGTACTGAAAGGGCGTCAAAAATAGTCAGCCACGCTGTCAGCTATCATCTCATCCTCATAAACTTTGGCCTTCACCAAAGTCATTGACTTATTTCAATTAGAGGAGAATAAAGGCGAAGTATCAAAATATTTAGATGGAAGTTTATATATTGCGCATTTTGGTAGTTTTATTCTTGTCAAAATTTTCTGTTCTTCCCAGCCTCCCTGGGTAGAGGATTAGCTGGAAAGCAGGGAACTTGATTGCCTTAGCTATGATTTGTCGCCGCTCAGTGACCAAAAGTGGAGAGAGTAGGTAGAGAACTTGGGAGCAGTGCATGTATCACAAGCATTTGAAAATGGTGATTCTTGATCTTTTCAATCTTCATAGGAGGTTAATAGGGTGGATAATTGAAAGTGTCATGTAATTACAGCGTAGGAGAGGACTTTGTCGGATGCCAGCTTATGCAATAAAGGTACAGTGGTGGATAATGTGAGCAGCTTTTTTTCCCAAAAAAAACTGAGGTTTAAGCAACAACCCAACGTTTTCTGTGATTACACCTATCACTTAATGTACTTCATTAAAGTAATAAGAATGGAGTCTATTTTAAGGCCTAAGAAAAGCCATGTTAACAAGTAGAGAACGCAACGGTGATTCAGGCTGTTGCTAGTTTCCGCTGGTGGTTGGCTAGGGTTTTTACTGCCTAATCAACAATGTTGCGTAGAAGAGACTTGCGTTTGGTATTTGCATCCTTGACTTCCCATCCGCCATTCGTAATAAACTAAGTGCTTTTGGGAGCTAATTTGGACTATAGAATTAGTTTTTAAGACTCTGAACAGAGTATTGGAGATTGCAGCTTTGGCATTACTGTTCCTCCTAGTTTTGCCACCGAAATTTGCACCGATCTTTCGGCGCACTTTTTGAACAAGAGAACTGAAATTCATCCTTCTTCTGCCAATTTTAAGAATAAGTGGCCACTGAATTTTCCGCAAAAAATACAGGCATGTAGAAAATTAATTTAGTGGTGCAATAATTTAACAACGCGTCGAATTTTTTTCCCGCCAGCACGGAAAAAAAATGTTCGTCATTAAACACAGAATAATTTTTTTCGTGACTGAAGATGTACGCGCAGTTTGCGATCTGCGGCCTGGTGTAACAAAATGTAACTTGTTTATATCCACCGATCTCATCCGCCCATTAGTATAATTTGCTTATTTCCTGGAACTTTACAATTTAATGTAACTTGAACCCCCATTTTCTAAGATTTCACGTAAATCTGGTGAGTTGATTAAAATGAGAATGAGGAGCATAGTCTTCCTCAAGGAGCACTTACTTTTTCTTTGAGGCTGTTACAAATGGTAGGGATGGATTTAAGGTAACAAGGAACTTTGGTGATAAAGTCGTCTGAATAGGTGCTCAGCAGACGAGTGTAGCATAATTCTTACTGATAGCAGATGGCGAAGGGCTTTAATGGGTTCTTTCGTTTCCTTTAGCTGGGATTTTTTCTGTAGCTAAACTTTGAGGAGAAGCATCAATCAGACTTAACCTTTCATCATGCAAACTAAGCCACCATTTCTTATCTTTCAAATGATCTGAGCACTACCGACTACTCCTAATTTCTTTGGGAGCACAAAATACTCCCATGGGACGGTTAAACCTCTTTTGTGTGTGTGCGATAAATATCCAGTGAATTGAAGGCGTAAATGTCCACGGAGGATCGTCTTGTTGCTGATGCCCAACCAGCTCTTATCGCTACGGCTTTGATAAATCTCCACTTTATGGCATTATAAATTTCCTGTCGCTATTTGTGCCTTGAAAAGGGCAATGGTAATGTAAAAATAGTTTTAAGACACCACACGATGAAAATCTCGAATTTCATAAATAATGAGAAAGCGTACGCCATCGAACTGGCTCAACATCATCCTATCCCATCTGGCCATCCTTACTTGAAGAGTCGTACTTTCAAAAAACATTGTGTCTCATTGGTATTGCCGTATTTGTGAGCAATGTCCGAAACTTTGCTTGTCAAAACAAAACAGAATTGGTAGTTGTCAAGATTTATACTCTTTGTTGTTATTAGTTAAAGCTCCTTTAACGGTAAAACTATCGGCAAATTTGCATCTTGTTGGAAAAGGCGACTACAGTGTGAAGCCGACGCTATTTGAAAAGTCACCGCTTATGCGAAACCTTGACGGTTAATAATTAGGATACACGAAGGCAATCTGATCGTTGGTAACAGCTATGATTTTATGATTAAAGGGAGTGGTATTATATTACCAGAACCATTTTTGTGTTCTCAATTTTACTTTTATGCAACCATCATCAAGGGCAAAAGTTCAAAATTGAAAAATCTAGCGACAAGTACGCGATGGTACTAAATAATTCTTAGCATCCGAGCATAAATAAGGCAGCTTTCATGCGAATTTCGCCCTGAAAAATTGACGTTTTGGAAAGGTGACGATGTTAGTAAAGGTAGCATCAAATCTTCATTAAACTGTACCGTATTATGCCTGCTCATTTGATAGTAGAAGTCATTAGAACTGGCCGAATGATAGTATTTAGATAGAAAGCGAGGATGTGGGACTTTGGCAAGACTTGAGGGTCGAGTTATGCGTCAGAAGCAAAATGGCCATTATAGTGATTGAACTCATACAGGCAGTCTAATATTCAGAGTATTACAGTGCTTCTCTCTTCTTTTTAGCAATTTTCCTAATGCTTCCCTCGATGTATCTCGATATGCCGTTAAAACGTAGTTGGTGCTGCAAACAACTATTCACGAGCTAACCACGCCATTCATCCACTCCTCTGTGACTTAGGGAGTGTATTCGACCCTGAAATAGACTCAACTAGATCTGAGGTCACGTTTGATCCAAAAATAAGAATTTGCGACCGGAACTACTGTCGAACATTGTTTAAACACTGGCCTAGAACCAATGCGAGTTGGAAAACGGAATCTAACACAGTCTCTTGTGCATATGAGTTCTGGAAATTTCATTTTACCTACATATATACGCGTTTAGGGTAGGGGAAATGCTGAAACGAAATGCTTTCATATGCTTCATGGCAAGTGTCGCCTAAGCTGTTAACATTTTGGCAGTGACACAGAAATGGGGCAGGCGTCATTCGCAGCCTCTTCGCCATGAAGGAGTTAGGGATTCTTCCACCTAAAGTGTGTGCAGTTCATGTGCACTACAGAAGTTTGCTACGAACGCTGGAAGTCAGATCTGAAGTCGCTGCCAAATGCATGGCGTTCCGAGACTTTCCATTCTGCATTAGAAGGCATAAGACTTGGCTGTAATCAGACAGAAGAGGAACACGTGGTGCTTTAGCCAGTCCAACCGGTAAAAGCGAGTTGGTCATCAAAGCGACCGCAACCCGTACAGGTAGTTGAATAAACAAAGTAGTGCCTAGACGTCATCCCTCTTCCTTATGAAGGAAAAAGGTGTAATACAATGCTTGTCGCGGGAACTCAAGGCCTGTAAAGAATTGTAACTACAATTATTGCCGACGAATTTGAGAGCCGTAGATTTGCTGCAATGAGCTGGGGTGGAAATCGCTGTTATTTATGTTTTATTGCGTCCTTTCTGTATATTTTTAGGCCACAATTACTTCCTGATCCTGTTTTTGTCTGTACCACAATGTAGGCAGGCTGAAGTACACGGACGCCGTATACGATGCCTGTATGGAGGCTTTCGATTGTCTTCCGTTAGCTGCTCTCATAAATCAACAATTTCTCTGTGTGCATGGAGGTCTCTCACCGGAAATCCACTCTCTCAGCGACATTAAAAAGGTAAGATTAAACTTCCCTATCCATTGCTTCATTCCTCTACTCGTCTACTCTTAATTTCATATCCGGCTGTCTAAACCTACCATCTCCTTCTCCTCTCCACCCACTTGTTGGTTAATTAGCCTCACGTCCAAATTTATACGCAGTCGGCCTTTAACCCATTTGTTCACAATTAATTTACCTTCCCTACTTCCTTGACTCACAATCCCCTAGTTTCCATTGCCAAAGACATTCATCCATGCGTGCGATTGTGTGTGCCCAGCGAACCCACGACTATCTGTTCATGCTCGCCCCGCTGTATCACGGCGATTTAATCCTCCTGTTGCACCAAGTGATGTCGACTTTCGAAATCTTAGGCCACGGATATGCAGGTTTGGGGACCAAGTCATGATAACAGACATGAGATGTCGCATTCCCCGATGGAAAAGAGCATCTACCAATGAACTTGCATGAGCCATTCCGAGCCCATTTTCCTTGCATACACGATGACGGATCTTTCGTGCCTACGTCTCTACCGCACTCTTGTTGCTAGGACAATGAACCTGAACGGTTGAAGTTCAAGTCAGAGGCCCAAATTTGGCTTAATTGGAGGAAATCTGAAGTTGGGCGAATTTAAAGCCTCGGCGTCAAATTTGCGGGCATTAATTGCTGACTGACAATTCACGCAGTTCACAAGGGGGTTAGCTGGGCAGAAGTTAAAGCAGACCGCCTTAACAGCAAGCAATTACCTCCCAGTGAGGATTTGCGCCTCTTATTTGCCAACAAGTGCTAGACTTTGTAATCGCTTTTATCTTTGATGTCCGCGAATGTTGTAAATGATGGCATAAAATCACCAACACCAAGCAGTGAAGTCTCTTAGCATTGCAGAATGCTCTGCCACAATTTGGGTGCAAATTCCAACATGGGGAGTGAAGTGATTTGCCTGGTCTTAGCCAGGCAAGCAAATTGTTGACTTTCATCTCCTCCTTTGGACGTTTCGTCAATTTATTGCTAATCCTAAAGCTACAAGCCATCATGGCGTGCAGTGTGAGCTAGTCTTTAGAGCTTTGGACACAATTTTGAATGACTGAGCTCATGTCTACCTCCTGGAGTCCAAAATCCTGCACTAATCAAAGTTCCACCTGATGATTGTCTTCCTACTGAGCCTCTGAAGGCGTCCTGTATCACGGCTGCCTACCGTCTTGACAAATGGCATTCTGACAGGCAATCGGGGCGTCAAACCTAGACGGTCACTCTTGCTGGTTCGTATAACTTTAGAGGGCGCGAGAGCCGCCAACTTGACATCCAACTTGACCATCCAAAATGTCGAAGTTCATCATCCGTGTTATGCATACTCTAGAGGAAATTAAAAAGTCAGCCACCTCAGATAAATGCAGCGTAGAATGTCAGCCATCTCATTTAGGCAAATCTCTTGTTGAACGCATTGCCAACGTGCCATTGAAAACCCATTCGACCTCATTTGTTGGGGCATTTTAACCGGTAAATTCACCCACAATTTGCAAATTCCGTGATAATAAGGCTAAAAAATGACCTTTCAATGCATAAAGTCGTCTCCCTAAATCGCTTGTGTTGCATGCGAATGGGAGGCTGGAATTCGCTGTATCCGATTCAGCGGCGTCGCCTTCTAGAGAATTTACTCAACTACTTTACAAACGTCTGTCGGTTCTTCATTCAGCTCATTCATTCAGTGTGTAGTTAACATCGCCTTTTCTCCGGACAGGCGGATGGATGATGGGAAGAATGGCTGTCTATTGTACTAAAGAGGCGCTTTATGTTGACTTTCATTCAAAAGGCCAAACAATGTCAACATCACAACAACGCGGTGTTGTACATGAAGCCGACTTTTCCTTTTTTACCTCAAAAATAAAGCTGATTGGTAGTGCAAGTGTAGCACGGGTGTAAACCTCTCTCGCCCCTCTCGTCCCTCCCCTCCCTTCTCCGATCATCCTCGTCACGTGCAGCCTTCCAGAGGAGTCATCAAAACAGGCATGACATGAAAGTATGCAAAATGGATTGCCATGTTTGGATGGCAAGGCTTTTTGATTCACATTACCCACCTTTAAATTTGTCTCCAGGACTGATTAGGTGATTAAAAAAACAAATGGCTTCCTCTCCCCTCCCCCTTTCACCTCTGCCGGGAGGTGGAGATTTGGCTCTCTGCTCTCTAAAGTGGATACAAAAAGGAGAAGACACCTATGCCTCTCACCTTTTGGCTCAATTTTTTACTATTTTCTGCAATTCGCACGGGAAAAAAGTTGTGCAGCAAAATTGTTGTGAGGGCAAAAAAATCTTTGACCAAGGAAAATTGCGCACACGTAGATGGGGTAGATTAAAGGCAGAAGTTAGAGGGCATTCCTCACTTTTAAATTCTCCTTATTTTTGCTTCCTTCTCTTGTAGTAATTTGGATGGGTTTTGCAAAATGTTGAGGAATTGGATTTGTCTGTATGTTAAACTTGGTTTTTTTCTTAATGATCTATCAATTTACCTTCCGGTGACTACCCATCATTGTCATTCCTTTATCCTCCCACTCGTCAGATCGTCCCTTCTTTTGTCGGAAACTGCCATTATCACTTTGACTGCATCCTGATCCAAACGTCGACTCTCCACTTTGGCACACAGGTTACTTTGTTCCACTTAATTACGAGTCAGAGGGATTTTGGAAAAAGCCAGAGTAGTGAATGTCGCAGCTACCTGACAGGCCTGCAATGCATTAGGCGCTTCTCCCGTCAAGATCAATCGCCTTTCCCCATCCACCCTGAAAGTAGCCCCTAGTGAGGATTTATGTCTGAATGCTTCCTGCGGACTGGTGTGTTTGGTCCGACTTTGGGTGAAAAATTGTTTGTGGGGCTGTTTACTTCCAGTTGGAATCGACACCTTGATTTGTATGACTCTGTTGTTCGAGAGAAAGGAATCAAGAGATTTGAAAAGGGCTGCATCTATACCATCGCACCATAAGCACGAATGCCACTTCATCGCTTAACATACTACTTATTCTTCAATTTAAGTAGAGACCTAGTTTTTGTGGAGAAAATGGAACATTTTTTCCTCCTTCACCATCTCAGGTTTACTTGGGCTGCAGCACATCTACACGCCAAAAAATGTGATCAAATAGGCGCAATCACAAAAGTACAGTACTCTGTCAAAACGAATTTGGGCAATGAAATGAATTGTGGCGAGTGCTCGCTTTGAGATTTAAAAATGTTATAACTTTTGCAAATTGTCACTTCCAAAAGAGCACGAGTCTGAGGAAATGTGGCCAAAAAAGGCAAAAATGCTACGTTAAGATTAGTAAACAAAGAAAGTATGGAAACTCCGCAATTTGGGTAAATTAGCTGTGCTTGAAAATATAAAACCAAAAATAATTCTTTCTCCTTTTCCAAGGATTTCCCCCCAAAATTATAACCTACAAAGATTTTGAAGTTTATTAATAAATTCTGTCACGTTAGTATGAAAAGTGTGACACATGTAATGAACACTTTTACTACCGGTGGGATGGGAAGAAACCCATCATCGTGACTTAGGTGCTTTCCCCCTCCACACCTGTAAGTGACCGCCTCAGACACAAAGGTGTTTTACACATCTTTTCTTTCCTACTTCGACAACAGTAAGTCGGGTCGCAATGTCTGTCTCCCCGAAATGATGTGTGACATTGGTTACAACTATCGACAGCCTTTGTTTCAGCGTCACTTGTGTGTCACTAACAAAATATTAGGTGTTTCGTGGAAGATAGTAAAAAATGATTGCATGAAATTAGAATATGCGTTAAGACAGTTTCCGCTGTATTATGATGCTGTCATTGCCAGGTAGGGTTTATTTTTTTAATCGTTTGCAACGGCATACGAGTTGGTTGTATCCTACAAAACAGTCGTCCAATTTGATTGGGAGCTGAGGGCGGCATCTGGAGCATTTCAAAGTGTGTTTTACCACTTTCCTATTGCCTTTACACAAGATGGATCGCTATCGAGAGCCACCGACCCACGGTCCAATGTGTGATATCCTGTGGTCAGACCCGACAGAGGACTTTGGACAGGAGCGTAACAACAGCCACTTCTCACAGAACTCTGTCCGTGGATGCTCCTTCTTCTATTCCTATGCTGCTGTATGCGCCTTCCTTCAGGCCAACAACCTCCTCTGTCTCATCCGTGCCCATGAAGCACAAGACGCTGGGTAAGTCATCTCTGCTGGGTCACTGCATCCCTCCTCATCCAATTTGGACTTTTAAAAGATGCTACTCGACTAATTTATTACTTGTTTGAATGTGTACTGCTTCCAAATGGGGAAATGTTTAATCTATGACAATCTTGTCGCCACTACGAGGGAAGGACTGATTGGATAGTCGTTTTGCCCTCCTTCAAACAGGAAGTTGTGTGTTTATACTGCGCACTTCCATTAGCTGTTTTGTCTGATGGATGAAGGCAAAATGATTGAACAATTCTGAGATTGAGTGCTGCGAGGCCGATCGTGAAACAGGAGTCAGTACCACACTCCACCCCTCTCATTATCCTTTATTGTTGAAACTCAAAAGGCCTGAAAAGCTGGAGGTCGTAGAGCAGTGGAGACTGCAACCACTTCACCATCTTCATAATTCAAGCAATTCTCTTCCTACCAATAATTTAGCGTAAATTGTGAGGACTGAAAGTTGTCCCTCTTCCAGTACCAACAGATGTCAAGATTGAAGGTTTCTTGTGGCAGTAGGTTTTCAATTTATGCCTCCTTTCAGTCCTCAGGATGATTTTCGCCTTCTCCTGTGCCCTAATCCTGAATACTTTGGTGTTCAGCCTTTTAGCAGTGTCTCTTTAACCTCATTTAATAAGAGAATTTTCGTGTGCATTAAACATTATCTTCACTGGCAGAAAAGGCGTGCCTTCACATCTCATTTTGACCTCAAAAGGACTGGCAAATTGCTTTGTTTAATGCAAAGACAAACACAACTTCACTACCAACCAGCGCATATTTAATTATCGGTGGGCACAGCATCCTCAATTGTTCCCCTTCAACACCCTGTTCGAAGGCAAACGCTGCTTTTCCCAAGTCATTAATTATGCAATGTGATTGTGTTCAAGACGCCCTTTTTATTTGAAGCACAATGAATAAAGCAGGAGCAATGGGATCCACAAATGAGATGCAACTATTCAGCATTGCAAGAAGCAGACAGGTGTGTGGAATGTTCTATCAAAAGTTTATTGAACTAATGAGCTGAAAGTAGACCTCTCAAGTGCATCGAGCGCTCTGGAAGGTCAAATGTACAAAAGACAAAGACGGGAGGGTATAATGTGATCGTCTACGCTAACTCACGTCGAAGCAATATGGTGAGACAGAAGAGCACGACGAGACGGAGACTGTGTACCGTCTATACAATGACCAGACATCTCAAGCACTGCCTGACAGAACAAACAGTTTCGCAGTGTAGTCAGACCATCAAGCACTAGCAGGGTTGAAGACGATGAATGAGGTCGACTGTTCTCTTTATCGTGTAGGATGGGAACAGATGCCCTGTCACGACGACCTCCCTCCTGCCTCATTTGGTGCGTAGAGCAGAGTGACGACAGGACTACTTGTTGTTGGAGTTTTCTCTTTTGGTCCTTTCGTCCCCTTTGAACCCCATCATCACGTCTCAGAGCGTAGAGAGGACGAAATGGAGGGGAATTTGTCATTGAAACTTGGGCACTTTTTATTGTTGCATGAAATTTGCAGTACGGAACACATCGGATGAATAGCCTTTGCCCCAACTCCTGGTTTCGATGTCTCTTAGTCTTTTATCTTTTCCAGCATTTGAATGAAGTAAATCCTCCGTTTTCGATACCTTTGAAAAACAGCACTGTTTCGTGTTCGTGTCTGTTCCACGCAGTTGAATTGTGTGGTCAGCGACTCCTCTAACGGTAACAGGGCAAGAGAGGCGACTCGAACAGCGCCTCAGACTTATTTATTACGTTCCACCAAACAAGGAATTGTTTTGCTAATTTTATCGACACAGAGCTCGACTTCCCTCCTTATGGCGTTTTCATTAACGTTAAACTTTAAAACCTTCCAAGGAGTTGAATAGCATGAAATTGTAAGACGAAGGAGAGACTCTTGCGACAAATGAATTGTTTCTCGGGGTGTGTGTGTGACTTGTGTCATCTGCATCCATTTCTTGTTCACAAAACTGTTAATCAGTCGAATTTATGAAGGAGACTGCTACATTGACGATGTCTACAGCACAAAATGCAAACCAAATAGTGACACATTGCGAATGCATTTATGTCCTCAACAATCATCTGCAGATTTCTCAAACCACAGATTGTTAGTGGAAGGACTGTCAATTCATTCAGCAACTTCTATTCACCCTGCGTGGTCAGTAAGGACCATCACAAGGTGCAGAGAGGCTCTCGAAGGGTGAAAGTGATGTCCTTGCGATCTCGCTAACTGCTTCTATGCTTTGTAATGGTGTCTTAAAGGTCACTAGGAGATTTAAACTCTCTAAAATCTTTAATTGTTTATTAATAACCCCAAAATTGTCATTTGCCAATCGCCTCTTTTTGACTTTAAATCACAGCTTTGCAACACATCTTACTTCAATTTCACTAGGAGACGTCAACCTAAATGTAGACAACTTAAAGTTTCTCTCCAAACAGCTTCCTTACGACTTCTTCAATCACATTTTTGATGACACCTCCAAAACACATCTACCGGAAGGTATTTCCATTACACAACTCCTTATTAGTTGTCGTTTAGAGGTCAGTAAATGCAGACTCTGCGGTGCCCGTTTGAGGAACGCCGAGTTGGAAAGAGCAGAGCGGATGACTCTCGGCTCTACCCTCCACCTCCTTACTGGAATGATGCTTTTCATTGACAAATTGACATTGTTAAAACATTTTCACCTGTTTTACAGTCTGTGCAGGAAGAGGGAGAAAAGGCGAAACCCAATTCCCTCTGACAGTTGTCCACCATACAAAATTCACCAAACTCTGGTCTGGTCTTAAATCTCCAACATTGTTAATGTGTGTTGACAAAAAGTGCAGACAATTAGAGTCGGTCTTCCTAAATCATTTCTCACTTAATTTACGATGGTTTGTCTCGCATAATTTCGGATGGGCGCATTTTCGTTCAGCTCCTTCCTCCACCTTTCAAAAGAAGTTCTTCCAGTGACAACTTTTTATCTACAAAGACCAGCTAAGTGAGTGGATTAGGCATGGCATAGTTTATTTCGACAAAATTTATAAAAAATAGTATTTTTTTTCCAACTCCGATGTGTTGGTAACTGTCAGTGCCTCTTACATGGAAGTGAAATGGGTTTGAAGGGACTAAGGTGAGAGGTAATGCCAGTCCAATTTGAAAGTCTACTCAAACTACATTAGAGTTCTGGCATTTTGTGTCTTTTATTCAAGGGTTTACACAAAATTTTGCAAATTTTCAGTGCTTCAGTTAACCGGTTTGACGACGCACACGTTTAGCTCGATTTTGCGTCCATCTGATCGTTGTGGAGACGTCAAAATTTCACACTCTGCTGTTTTCTTTAGCTAAAACTAAGTTTATGAAGATTTTATTTTTATAAAGCTTTGAGTGACAACCCTTGGGATAGAAGTAGTACGGAACATTTGAACTTTGATGGCAAAAACAGCAGTTAAAGGTGGAATTGTGAAAGCTCAAGACTTCTTTGAAGGCGTGAATAGAACGTTTCTAGTTGACACAGAGGCTAAAACAAACATAGAACGTACTGTGTGGCTCCCTTCTTGTGCTTCTCCACTCTCCTCCTGATCAGCCTCTCGCGCTGTAGAGGAGCCCTCGGGAGAACTGCTTGACTCCAACATCACTAACCAACATATCTGTAGGTTTTTGTTTGTTCCTTAGAGAAACTGTTTCTGGGGCGGAGGCTTGTGCTGATCATCAGCTATGTTAACCGCTGGTCACAAAGGATCAAACAGCAAGGGCAGGAATTTAATTACTGTCTTTATCTTCATTTTGTTCTCTCAATTTGGGGCTCTCCAGATACATTTTACCCAGGAGATAGAGAAGCAGAGGAGTTGTAGGTTTGTAAAATTGACATCAAATCTGGTCTCGCTCTGGTGTCGAGGGTACACGTCTATTCTGACACCGCAGATCCTCATGGTTTGTGTTCCCACTGATTCCCCTCCTCCTCCTCCTCCTCCTCCTCCTCCTCCTCCTC